ATACTCAATTTGACCGAGAATCTCATCTCTTGCTGTGAGAAGTTCTTTCATTCGATCAGGTTCCTCTTCTGCTTCTCCATCCTCACTGGAACTCTCATTCTCCTCCTCGTCCCCTCCAGCTTCGGCTTCCGCAATTTCTTGTCGCAGGCTATCTTCTGAAATACTGCGAAACCCTCCTCGTTCGGCATTGATTCTTGCGATTAGGTGAGGTAACGGAATGGTACCTCCATTTGATGTGGTTGGTGCTGGGCGCAATGAAAGTGGATGGTTACTGGGGAGAGTTGACATTTTGAGGGGCCGGATAGGATTCGAGAGATAGATTGATTTGTGACAAGGAGATTGAGAGCACTATTGGGGACTCCGCGACGTCTTTCGGAAATTGGGAAGCTTCTAATAAGGCTTTGGTGGTCTATTGAAATGTTCTACGGTTATTGTTTTGAGGATCAAGCTTCAATCAAAATACTGCCCCGCTTAAAGAAAAGAAGGTTCACCGCTTTAATATTGTTAGAGATGTAAGATTACGAGTTCTTGAGTACAAACGAGACATATAATCTATCCATCTAATTTGTTTCTCTTCATCGCATATCATCTTATCCACCAAATTCGTATGTTTGATGTCAAACTGACATTCCATGATACTACTATACTCTGAATTGATCATCCTAACATCTACATTATATCGATAGCATACAAGTACTCCAGGCGTTCAGTAGTATCAACCTTCACTTCAGACCTCCCAACATCCCATTATCATTGTTGGAAAGTTTATAACTAACTAATATCAGTATTTACTCTCCTTGTGATGTCAGAAGTAGAGGATATAGTATAGCGTGCCCGAATTGAGTCCGACACTACGATGTACAGATGGCTCAGGTACCACCGACTCACCAATCACGAGTATGAATGAAGTATCCGCCTTGTAGAGTTTCCGCCAAAACATGACACAACAGGTTATGAACTCAGGGTAGATGAAGGCAATGGAATAGAAAGACATTGATTGAGTTGCAGTTTGCAGTTTGCAGTTTGCAGTTGTAGCCATACATCCTCACTCACAGCCGATGAGAATTGAGAACTGTTGCACTGTCTGGTTGAGGTGCGTATGTATGACAGAGGAATCCTCATTACATATGTGCATGTATATACTATAGGTACAGACATATTTATATACATACTGTGATACACACATAGTTAGAGAGAGACATAATCAGACATAATATCATGATATATGGAAAGGTTTATGGCCTCACCTACACATCAAGAGCCATTCCTTTCGCTCCCCTGACTCCTGCCTTTATTCTGACCGGAATCAATTTCCTCTCCAAATGTATCTCTTCATCATGATTGGAATTGTGGCCTTCTACCAAGACTGTGCGAATACCAAACGGAATTCTCCAATTTGATACCGATGCCGATGATACCAATCCGATAAGCAAAAAAAATAAAAATGAACAAGGTCTCAGCCCACTACAATACATGAAGGACCCATCTTATTTCAAACTGCTCTCTCAACTTTTCGTCATTCTTGAAAAGTAAGAGAATCTACTCGTACTAGTCAATACAATCTTGACGAAGTATACCTACCTACCTACCTACCTACCTACCTACCTTTCTCAAATCTTCATTCTTCCCTCTTCACTTTTTTCTCTCTTCTCTGTTCTCTGCTCTCATACTACCTTGGACCTTACTTATTTGTTATCCATTATACCCAAGAATCCCTCCCTCTCTTATCTCCCACCTTACCTCAGCCTTATACCCCTCCAACCTGATTACTTTCAACAAAACAACAACTCAAAATTCATCATGGCTCCTCAACCCCCACCACCCCTCGAGGGAAAGAAAAGACGTGTCGCTATCATGACCAGTGGAGGTGATTCTCCTGGTATGAATGGTGTTGTGCGAGCGTGCGTTCGAATGGCAATTTATAAAGGATGTGAACCATATTGTATCTATGAAGGATATGAAGGTTTAGTTCAAGGAGGAAGGTTGATCAAAAAGATGGGCTGGGAAGATGTCCGGGGATGGCAATCCGAAGGAGGTACTCTGATTGGTACTGCCAGATGTATGGCTTTCTATGAACGGCCCGGCAGATTACAAGCAGCAAAGAACATGGTGTTGAATGGAATTGATGCTCTCATCATTTGCGGCGGTGACGGTTCCTTGACTGGAGCTGATAAATTCAGAGCGGAATGGCCTGGATTGATCAAGGAATTGATTGAAAAGAAGGAATTGTCGGAACAACAAGTTGCACCATTCAAGCATCTCAACATCGTTGGATTGGTCGGTTCAATCGATAATGATATGTCTGGTACTGATGCTACCATTGGTTGCTTTTCAGCTCTTGGCAAGATTTGTGAGATGGTGGATTATATCGAACAGACCGCTTCGTCACATTCAAGAGCTTTCGTCATTGAAGTTATGGGTAGACATTGTGGTTGGTTAGCTTTAATGGCTGGTGTTGCTACTGGTGCGGATTTTGTTTTCATCCCAGAAAAGCCAAGAGCAGACAATTGGAAAGAAGAGATGCACAAGGTTATTCAAAAGGTATGGTTGTTATCTTTCTATAAGTTTTGATCCTACTAACAATCACACAGCATAGACAGTTGGGAAAGAGAAAGACAATTGTTATTGTTGCCGAAGGTGCTCATGATCAAGGAGGAAATAAGATTTCTCCAGAAATGATCAAGGATCTTCTTGCAGACAAGAACGGACTCGCTCTTGATACACGTATTTCAACATTGGGTCATGTCCAACGTGGTGGTTCTGCATGTGCTTACGATCGATACCTTTCTACTTTACAAGGTATCGAAGCAGTCAATGCTGTTCTTGATGCTACACCAGAAACGGTTACCCCTTTTATCGCCATTAACGAGAACAAAATTACAAGAAAGCCACTTGTTCAATCGGTTATTGATACTCAAGAAGTCGCAAAAGCTATTGAAGCAAAAGATTTCGAAAGAGCTATGTCACTCAGGGATACAGAATTTTCTGACTTTTACGATTCCTACATGACTACAACAGCTACTGATCTCAACAATGAAATGCGTCTTCCTGACAAGAAGGTACGTGATAATTGGAATTTTGTTTCTTCTAATACTAACATTTTGTAGCACATGAGAATTGCTATCGTGCACGTCGGAGCTCCAGCTGGTGGTGTTAATGCTGCTACACGTGCAGCTGTTGCTTATTGCTTAACTCGTGGACATACACCAATTGCTATTCACAATGGTTTCGCCGGATTTGCCCGTCATCACCAAGATAACCCCGGATCGGTTCGAGAATTTGATTGGTTGGAAGTTGATGGATGGGCTAGTAAGGGTGGTTCAGAAATTGGTATGAACCGTGAACTTCCATCAGAATCTGGAATGCCATTGATCGCATCACTTTTTGAGAAATTCAAGATTGATGGTCTTCTCATCATTGGAGGTTTTGAAGGTTTCCATGCCTTATCTGAACTTCGTCAAGCAAGAGAAACTTATTCTTCTCTTTGCATTCCTATGACTTTACTCCCAGCAACTATTTCCAACAACGTTCCAGGAACAGAATATTCGATTGGATCGGATACTTGTTTGAACGAACTTGTCCGTTATTGCGATACCATTAAACAATCTGCTTCAGCTTCCCGTCGTCGTGTTTTCGTTATCGAAACTCAAGGTGGTCGATCTGGTTATGTTGCTACCATGGCTGGTCTCGCTGTTGGTGCATCAGCTGTCTATACTCCTGAGGAAGGTGTTAGTATTGGGATGCTCGCAGCGGATATTGCACATCTTAAGGAAGTTTTCGAGAAAGACAGTGGCCAATCAAGAGCTGGACGTCTTATCCTCATCAACGAAAAGGCATCAAAGGTTTACCACGCCAAACTTATCGCTGATATGATCCGTGAAGAAGCTGCCGATCGTTTCGAATCCAGAGATAGTATTCCAGGTCACGTTCAACAAGGTGGTACTCCATCTCCTATGGATCGTACCCGAGCCGTTCGCTTAGCTATCAAGTGTATTGAACATCTCGAACAATATGAAGATCGAACCGATAAAAAGATTATCGAGGATAAACAAAGTTCAACGGTTATTGGTATCAAGGGTGCACAAGTTGTGTTCTCTAGTATGGTTGATGTCGAAGAGAACGAAACAGATTGGGCAAATAGAAGACCAAAGGCTGAATTTTGGTTGGATTTGAAGGGATTTGTGGATATTCTTGCTGGTAGACCAGATGTTCCTAGACCGGAGCGTAAATTAAAGGGTTGGAAGGCGAAGGATAGTAAGAGGGGTTTGATTTGAGAGGGTGGAGATTGATGATTGGATGAGGGAGTGATATTTTTACATGGGATGGATTGTTGGGTTTTCGTGGATGCCAGAGGATGAAACAAAAGAATGAAATGAGAAATGAGAGATGAGGAATGGAAATGAAAAGAAACCAAAGAAAAGAATGAATGGACGGAATTGATGGGATAGGATACAAGTTTTTCGATGGGGAAATGAATGATTGATTGAATGAATGAATGAACTGAGATGAAATGGAATGAGATGAGATGATGCATGCATGCAGGAAAGAAAGAAACAAAAGACGAAACATAAATAGCTTGGAGTAGTTAGTTTTCAATATTGATATCAATGAGATGAATTTGATGATTTGATGGTCTGATGGTTTGATTTCATATGGTGTTTTGATATCAGCATATCATTCTATTATTCCCAATTTCAGGTACTAGGTATCCTATGTATAAGTATCCAGTTAATTATACAACTTTTGATTGCATATCCGAGTATCCATCCATCCATCCATTAGTTCCCGAGCTCATTGTATCATATCTATGATCTATCATTCATTACAACTATCTTCTTGATTGATTGATTGATTGATTGCTTGTTTGTTCGATTCCCTCTCTTCCTTCTGCTTGAAAGGTTCTTGGTCGGTAATTACTTGCGGTTTTGGATTTATCTATCGATCGATCGATTAAGTTACTCTAATCTCTAATCTGTATCCACACTCCCTCCCTCTCCCCACTATACCTCATTCACAGCATCATCCCATTCGATGCGTCTCGTCCGTACTTGTGTTTCCCGTGCGCGAAAAGCATGACGTAAGCATGTTTCACAAGGGGGTAAGCGTGAGAGTGAGGGTGGTTTATATTTTTCATGAGATGGAGGGGAAGTGGAGGGGCGGTGTTTGATTTCTTCACTTTTGAGTAATGAGAGGGAGTTATTTCTAGTTTCGATTGTTTTTTCGTTGGAGGATGAGGATGAGGTTCGGGATTGGGAATTAGAAGTGGCGGTCGAGGGAGTTTTGGAATTAGATGCGGGAAGTAGATTTGCGGAGAGGTTCAGGACTTCCAATTTTGTAAAGTACGAGAGTTGGGTGATGATGGAATTGTACTTGTATTGATTGCGCTGGTTGTCGTACTTGTTGCTGGAATCGTGATCTTGATTATGTTTATGATAGTCATTTTGTTCATCATCTTCTTCTTCCTCCTCGCTTCCATCATGAATCTCAGCAGATGATGACGACAATGATGATTCAGAAACTCGCAGTCTCAAAACCTCAAGAATATCTCTCAAATGTTCGATGGAACGCAGAAAATGATTTATATTGAAAGAAAATTCCAATCCTTCTCTTTTTCCGATTTGAGGGTCCTAATGCCATTCCCATTGTAAAGATTTGAGGAATTTGAAGTAACTGAAAAATGGGACTAAGGAATCCCGTCGGAGAACGGTGTGAGAGAGGTGGAGATGAGTGATGTGGAAGGTAAAATTGGGAAGGGAGTAGGAGTAGAATGTTGAGAGTGTGAAGGGTGGTATTGAAGATGGGGTATTTGTGTGTTGAGCAGAAGGAGAAGAAGACAAAACAGAAAATGGAAAATGATAATCCGAAAGCATGTGGGTATCGACCTCTCGTATGGAGGGAATAGCTAAAAAGGGAAGAGCGCGCAGAATCTCAAATCCCATCCGGGGATAATGCATGGTATCATGTTTTGCCAAATGTAAAGAGCGTAGATGCGGGAATGAATATGCTTGTGGTTGGACTATGCAGGTGGGATCGCGAAGTCGTTGATTTTGTAACTTTGCCGCTCTGTTGAGCACGGTTTCGAGATAGGGATATCCGTAAGGACAACCGCTCGCGTGGTTGATTATATTGAGAGATAGGAGATTAGGGAGGAGACAGAGGATTAATCCCACGATGGCATCCCAGTTTCCTTGGAGGATAAAATTGTACCATTGTGAGGCGATGTGAGAGCCAAAGAATTGAGAGCGTGAGCCATCTTCTAGGGTGTAGTTGGATTTGAGACGGGATTTCAGGAGGACAAGGTCGGAAGGGGAGAAGTTGGAGAGGGAGGTGTCGGTTTTGTAGCCTAGGAGGGCGTTGCAAGTAAAGTTTTTGGTGTAGAGTGCATAGTGGGGATTATGGAGAATGGTGTGCAGAAAATGCGGAAGGGAAGTGCATGTGTCGCCGAGGTGGAGGAAATGGGAGTACAGGTATGGTGTGACATAGTGGTGAAATTGGCGAGAACATAGAGAAAGGGCGGAAAGAGTTTGCGGAGATGGTATTAGACAGAAGAGAGTGAGGAGAATGTCTGTGGGTAGGCGAGTGATTGGGAAATTTGATTTGATGGTTGGTTTAGAAAGGGGGGAAGAGCGCGGTGCAATCGGAAGATGGGTGGGTTGAATTGAGACAGTCATTTTTGATGGAACCTGAAGATATTAAATGGAAGTAAACAGTGAAAACTCAACTCCATATCGTGCAATATACAATAGAGAAAGTAAAAGCACATAAGACAGTATCGAAGACGACGCCTCTCATCTAAATACAAGCTCTCGAGATTCAAGCCCCCATTGTTAGACCCTAAATCATGACCGATTCAGGGCTCAAATATGGAGAGTACTACTCCATGTTTTAGAAATTGTAGATTATCAGAGAAACCGCAGCAATCACATCAATCACTGTTACGAAATAATGTAGAAAATGAGATGAAGATTCACTTGGTGATCTGTGTCAAGCTGGTAAAGGAGCACGGCCATAGTAAGCAATTTGATGTAACCGCGCGGTACGAGGATATTCGAGCGATCCTGATGATAAGATAGATGGGTAGAGGCGTAGTCGTGAAGATTTGTATCAAAACTCTTATGATATTGTTTTGGAGCCGACTAAGTTCGTTAGAATCTGAGGACCTGAGTTCAATGAAGAGGTGGTAGTAAATGCGGGAAGGTTCGTGGTGAAGGTCGAATGTAGAAGGAAATATCTACTGTAGCAATGGTTAATCACTTGTTAGTCATCACCGGATAAACTTCGCTAAGCAGGTAGGTTAAGGTTAATCCGTCGCTCAGAAATTATTGCCGTTGGTGCAATGACCGCCCCATTTGTCGTCACAACGAGATTCCTTCATCCTTCTGCAACAACTTTGTCACCACCTATATTAAGCCCATATCCATCGGGACTGATGGTTGGATACAATACAATCTCTAACTCATACTATTCGTAACTTAGGAATCTAGAAGTCCACCAGCTCAGGAGAATCGCCCTTGCTCCTTTAGTGGCACCGTTGGCTCAATGGCAAGTGCCATCTTGGTGATTTTCAACAACTCAACTTGAGGCTCCAACTATCCCCTGAGTAAGATCAATCTACTCTACGGCTTGGCATCTCCCAGCTTGTCAATATCTCTTTCTGGGGGTAATAACTTTAATCGTACCTGCATTGATCAACCGAAACCTGGCAAACAAGCCCTACGAGGCAGTGAAAGCGATGGCTGGCCACTTCAAACCATTCTATGCTTTCACATCGTATGTTTTTTGACTAATCTCCTCATTCTCTAAATTTGGATTATGATTGCACAAAAAAGTATTTTGTGAAACATTACCATTCATTGCCAAGAACATGGCTGTTGAGCTGAAAAAATGCACATGATCGGCTTACCTACAATCACACTTCGGTAAGGAGAAACAGAATTTTGGAGGCGTAGACGAGTCCCGAACTTATGCAGGTACGATATTGATATTCGACCTGTCACACAGGAATTCAGACACTCAATGTTATTATCGACTGTTCTATTGTTCAGTTTGTTCATAGAAAATCAGCCCTCTATCATGTTAGGATCTATTACCTCACAGCTTCGGAAGCCAAGAATATCATGCGGACAAGTCAGAAGAAAGTACTGTGATTTCCTTGCGTATATATTGTGTCTTTTCCAGTCTTTCTGTTCCCCTTTCTCATCTTTTTACTATCGTCACTCATTTCTCCTTCAGTCATTCTTTAACAAGCACACTCGTTTTAAACGTTGTCGCATATAAGTTCTCTTAATATATTTCAATTAATTTACCCCTTACCATAATGAAGTTTTCCTCCGGGGGCTTATTGGCCAGTTTGACAGCTTCTGTTCTTGCAGAAGATCTACTTTTTGTGGATACATTTGAGTTTAAAGAGTTTGCGGAGGCAACATCTGTCCTTGGATACACCACAAAGGTGGTTAGTGAAGCACAATGGAAGACAATGACCACATCCGAGTTCGCTGCTTTCAAAGCCATTGTCATTGCCGATCCAGATTGTTCAACATCACCTAGTGATATTCAATTCTTGACTGATACCAAGAATACCTGGGGACCAGCAGTTCAAGGGAACATAGTTGTTATCGGTAAGAACATTCAAGAAAATTCAAAATTTAAGACGACTTTACTAACTCGGATATCAGGCACGGATCCTACCTTTCACTTCTCAGCCCAGCCTGGTGCCAAAGTTCTGATTGATAACTCTATCAAATTCGCAGCATCTGCAAAGAGTCTTGCTGGCTCCCAACAGACTGGTCTCTACTACGCGTTGTCTTGTTATTATAACAACGTGGATTCTGCGAAAGTGGAATCACTCTCATACTTCGGAGACTTCACCGTTCGAGGAAATCTTGATTGTTACAACAAAGCTCATATTGTTGCATCTTCACCTGCTCTCGGAACTCTTAATGACGCTGCACTATCTAGCTGGTCTTGCAGTGTTCATGAAGCGTTCTCCAGCTATCCATCTGTTGGAATCAATGGATTCCAAGCTCTTGGTATTGCTCAAGATGTTATTGGCGTCGGATCGCAAACTTTTGGTGATAAAACAATTGGACTACCATATATTATCAGTCGTGGAGCAACTCCAGCTGGATGTGGTGATGGAAAATGGGAAGCATCCCTGAACGAAGAGTGTGATGACGGAAACACTGTTGCTGGTGATGGGTGCTCTGCAAGTTGCAAATGTGAATCTGGTCGCCCAACTGGTGATGGAAATTGTCTTCCAGCTTTGACACTAAACATAACAACTCCTGTTCATACTCCATCGCATTCTGCCACTCTTCCACCCCATATAACATCAGGATCTAGTGGAGTCCCTGTACCATATGGCAACAAGACTATCATTTCAACGATCGATCATAACAGGACTGTCACTGCTACTATCCACGATACTGTTACAGGTCATGATACCAAGACTATTCATGATATTTCAACTGTTACTACGTAAGTAATTACTTGGCAATAGATAGCTCTGTACTAATTCATCTCTAGAACTTTCATTCCTCCTCCATATGTTACTCCCGCATGCCCAACTGGAGACAAGATAGTTGGTGTTCAAATTGTTGTTTATGTATCAATCATTGAATCATGTCATACCATTGGAGACAAGACTGGTTCGTAAATCTATTTTCTTTCACTGAGATCATCACTAACATATCAAATAGTTACTTCATATATCACAAGTGATTGCTCCACTGAACAGAAGCCAATTTGGAGCACATCAACTGTTGGATATCCTTGCTACGCATGTGCCTTATCTAGTGCTGGTGTCCCTTGCCCGACTGGAGGCTTTATCACAGCCACTACGACCTCATGCCACGAGACTGCAGTCCCAACTTCATACACTTGGACTCCAGTCCCACCCACCATTCTCCCATGCAAGACTTGTCTTCCATACACTATGCCAACATGTCCAGTATATAGCACACTCCCACCATCATCTATCTACGTTGTCCCAGTCCCAACTTTGGGAACTCACTCCGAAGCAAGTAGCCGTGTTCCCGAGACTTCTATCTATGTACCTGCTCTATCTCCAGTTACACACACCACTTCTATCTACGGAGTCGGTGTCACAACTTATATCACTTACCCTGCCGGTCCAACCAACTGCAATTGTCTCAGAAGTCAAAGGGATCGCTGCTACAATCATCACTTATGCCGCTCCGACACCAGCTCCAACATACGCCGCAACTATAGTACCTGTCTGCCCTCCTGGCGGATGTAAACCAGCGACTTCTACGGTTGTTCAAGTGGGTCCTGTTGGAACGACTTCTCTCTTGGGTTCCCCCACTTATATACCATTCACTGGGGCAGCTACCCGTATTGTCAATGCTAATGTGGCCACGATGGTTGGTGTCGTAGGCGGCATTTTCGGATTGATGATTATTTTGTAGATTGGGAATTTGAAGGATATGAATTGGGATTTAGGATGCTTATTGTTTTGAATGGACTGGGTATGGCATGAACAGAAGCAACATTACCTTGTGAAAGGGATCTTTAGGGAGAAACGTATTTATTCATTTCGTATCGACTTGCAAAGGCTTCCCGCTTTCTGTTTCCCAAGGAAAAAAAAGGAAGAAATGGTGCCATTGCAATTGATCTTTTTTTTCTGTGAACGATTTTTGACTTTGGTGTATGAAATGGATAGGTAATAGATATACATCATTCATTATTTAACAGTGGAGTGTTAGGACATGGAGGTTAACATATTTCAATGTTTTTAATCATTCTATTCGTCTTTGTTGATTTATTGCTTGCTTTGTTTTGGATGATTGCATCTTATCCTCTATGTGTCCAGAGTCGAGTTTTTGAAGATCTGGAATGTCGTGATAGTTAATCTGATTATACGGGTCGAGGTTTTCGAGATTTCTTATGATTCCATATATGCTTTCTTTCCTTATAGAAGTATGACCTTACCTTGAATCTTTGAAATCAACAGTGTATGAAGACACTGAACATCTAAATCCTAATTAGTTCTTAATATTTGATCACACTTTTTCTTTTCCGTTGTCCGTCCTAAGCGGGGTGGGTGGGGTTGTAGCGGAGTGGCACTATTGGGCGAACAAACCTCGGTAAAGTCTCGAAGAATAATTTGTTACAAGTTTACGTCCATCCATCACAATTTGATATCCTAACACTGTATATAAATTTGCCCTCGATGCCAATTTAGTATCCCTTTGTTTTCATCAAATGGTGTAGACGCTGTTTGAAAATCTGGAACCCAATTGAGTTCAATTGAAACTTTCAGAACACGACTTCATCATTGAGCAAAAACTCACGTCATGGAATCGAATTCTCTGTTCACATTCTTCCCCGGAAAACATCTCTGGATCTGCAGTGCCATAGCTCTAAATCTGATTCGTATCCCCTTCTGGCTTATCTACTATGCTCCCTCTATTACTCGACCCTCGCCAAAATGGACTTACACCAAAGCTCTCCGTATCCGTATCGTAAAAGCCTTCGTCAAATCCGTCTCAATCACCAAATCAGCTACTATCATTAATCTCCTTCCGGGTGCCGAGGGATCACGATTCTTAACCATTCAGCCCGCTTCATCATCCCGCTATCAAGGGGTTACCCTCACGAATTCCGAGATCAAACCAGAAATTATTGGTGGCACGTGGTATCCACATCAACCATCTTCTGGCGAAGACGCCGGAGATGTAGTTCTTCATTTTCATGGAGGAGCATACGTAGTTGGAGATGGACGAACACAAGATGCTGGATTTTGCGCAGAGACTTTGATTGCCAATAGCTCTGCTTCCTATGTATTTTGTCCTCAATACAGACTTGCTTCAAGTCCAGGTGGGAGATTTCCAGCAGCGTTGCAGGATGCAATCACGAGTTTCTCTTACTTAACCGAGACAATGGGAATTAAGGCGGAGAATATCGTTGTCTCGGGGGATAGCGCAGGAGGAAATCTGGCAATGGCTTTATTGAGATATCTACATGATAATCCAAACGCGGGTCTTCCAAATCCAGGATGCGCTTGGTTATGGTCTCCCTGGGTTGATCCAGTTTCTACGATTGTCGAAGGAATCTTCCATGCATCTCCATACTCTCGTACCGATTATCTTGATGAGGGTTTTGGAATCTGGGGTGCAAAGAGATTAACACCACTTGAAGGAACAGGAGTAGAATTATCTCATCCGAATATCTCGTTTGTGGGGAATCCGTTCAAATCTTCCACCCCATTGTTTTTCAGTACAGGGGAGTGTGAAGTACTTTTCGATGATGTGGTGAGGGTTCATAATCAGTTCACAGAAGCGGGGAATAAGACGGAATTGCAAATTGAAGAGGGGGCGGTGCATGATATTATTTTGATTGGAAATCTTTTGGGCTTCAAAGAAGAGGCGAGGTTGGCGGCTAGGAGAGCAGGAGAGTTTTGGGAGAGAAATAGATAGACGGGGTAGATTGATGGATTGTAGATTGGTGGGTGAGTAGAAACAGGCTTTGGTGTTTGTATGATATACCTGGATAAAGATATAGATGTATATTTAGGATAGATTCAACGTATTTAGAACACTTGCCTGCAGGGTGTCTTCTGCTTGATCCATGGGAGAATTATTCACAACAAGATTGTTACTCAAGATTGATAAGGCACAAAAGTTTAGGGCTTCACCCCGTTGATTTGAGGTAAAAGGGGGCCCATCGAAAGAATGATTGTATGTCATGTGATTAGTGATTCAGAGACAATGAACTGTTTCGACTGGTCTACGTATGATTGGATAGCGTTTTCGTGGATAGAATGAAGTCAAATTCGAGGCGTGAAATATGTATAGTATATCATCGGTGAAGGATATAGGTAATAGATGCTGAAGTCGCGAATGGTAAAGGTGTTTGGTAAGCATGTTACTCATATATACGCACATAATTCTCCCACCCTCGTAATTTCCAGCAGATATTTGCACCCTATTTCGGCGAGGTTCATGAGGTTTGATTGTGAAATTCATCTGGAAAATATACTATTATCAATAGTGTCATTCAATGACATCTATCTACATGACAAATATCCCAAGACCTTCACACTACTGACATGATGCCACGAAGTCACAGGAAGTCTAAGAAGGTCTTGTACAATCTAAAAGTAATCATGTAGAGAAACTTTGATGATTAAAGTATGAATTGAGTTTGTTGTCCGAAATAAGAATATTAGTACGGGCATATATGTCTCGTTGGAGAGATTTCAAGCGATGCTAAATACCTAGCTTCAGACCAAAATAGCTTGAATATGATAGCCCTGGGTATATAAACTCGGATTCCGCACGAGGTGCAGTGGGATATTTGTTCGAGATTGATTATCTGGTCAAAAATCGCATTCACATACATTATAGTTTGAAATATATATTCAAATAAACCCATTTCAACCTCTGGATAGTTCATCTTAGTCCATTAAGATTTCCTCTGTTCTGATTCTTGAAATCGACGTTCTCTTTCAATATCTAAGACATCAAAAGATGTTTTCTAGATTGATAACATACATACGTTCTATAACACGAGGATATAGAACACTGAATAGAGATGATTCAAATGATGTTGAAAAGTCTACCGAAGAGACACCTTTGATTGTCAAGGTACCTGCATCACCAAACCCTTCCGGGGATCATTCGAATGATAAGAGTAAAGAAATTGGGAACACATCCAGCCGTTGAGATTTCGGAACATTTTGATACAGAGCGACGCAGTCTTTGTCGATTCAGCAATCGGGAAGCCGATTGACGAATCATTCAATACAATCGATTGTACTTCGCAAACATCCAGTAACGCCTCAGAACTCCTTCCCTCTGAACAGTATCCCAAAGTTTCAACTGGTGTCTTCGAATTAATATCCAAAACAGCTCAAAGAGGAGCAAATAATGTATGCAAAATAGAGAACGAACAAAGTGATCGACTTCGATTTAATTCGGAAATATGTATTTCAACTCCACCTTCGAATGACTTCTTCGGATCATATAAAGAAATTCAATCCTTAGTAAATACTTTTGAAATAGAGGATGAAAAAACACCATCGAGTTCAGCGTTCTCCGAAATCTTTTTTGGGACCAAACCCATCAAGCTTCTTTGTAATAATATTTAAAACAGTTAAATTAGTATTAGATACTTTTACTAAGAAAATCGAGGATGAGAAAAAACAGTCGAATACCTTCTTTAGATTACCTGAAGTAATTCAATCCATAATAGATATTCTTGAAATAAAGAATAAAGAATAAAGAATACAATCAAGCTTAATATTCTTCAGAATATTTTTTGAGACCAAACCTATCAAGCTTTTTCGAAACAATATTCAAAACAGCTAGATCAACAATAGACACTCTTGTTAAGAAAATCAAGGATGAGAAAAAACAACCGAATCATCTATTAGATCACCAAAATGAGCCCCAAAACTAGCACTAGCGTTTCTCCTGAACCACAAAGTCTGATTGCTTGAAAATGATCAAATATTCCTGAATTTTAATACTACAATTGGTCAATGAGGTTTCTGTTAAGCGATAGAGTCCATTTTGGTGTCTTAGGGGATAGGCCGCTGCCCGGGAGATGTGACCTCGAAAGTTTCACACGAGGTGTTGGAATGTTGGTTTGAGGATGAGAGAATCGAAAAAAACAGGGGCGTTACATAGACATTCGACAACGGAGGGAAGACAGAGCCAATCATGGTGCTTGATGATATATTGGAAGAGAAGGATTGTGTTAAGCAAAAAGAGAAAGATAGAGATTATGAAAGTGGTTAGGGAGGGGGCATACGTCCAGAGGTAGTAAACTTCTTTCTGCATTTCTGAGACGGCCCTATTGGTAGTTTTTGTCATATAGTATTCTTGGGGTTGGGCAGAGAAAAGATTGCGCGTGGTAGAGAGAAAGCATTATAGGTTTTGATAAAAATTAAACATTAGAGGAATTGAAGACAAAGAAGAAAGCGGTAGTATTTTTGAGATCAAGGTTGTAGGTAAAATATGAAATATTCAAACGGTATGCGAGAAGGAGAATGAGAAGATATGACACTGTTTGGAAACGTAGTGGACGATGACGATATACGCTATAGAAGCGTACTTCCATAATCCTTGTTGAAGTTTCTAAGCAATTTACGGCGGCTCACAAAATCTGCAAGAAAAGCAAAGTCATACAGCCTCTCGAGAGGTCAAATCAGTGTCGATGTTAACCCAGAAACATTATCGACCAAGGAGAATGAGACACGTGTAGTCCCATGTAGAGAATCAGTGTATTGTCAGCCCTCTGCACAAATAGTCGATGCCATCCCGCGTCTATTGGCGTTTAAAACGGACGTCAACGGATAGAAATTTTTGGGTTTATACGCATTTGTTTTGGCTGTGTAACTGAAATAATCGAAGGTCATGTTGGACTTTATCACCACTGCGCTAGCGATAAAATTGGACCGCCG